TTAGAAGCGGGCCGCCCCAACTGCTCCTCCCCTTCTCTCCCTGACAGGCCCCTGTTCCGGCTTCCCCTCTCTCCCTTCTCACTCCCCCCCCCCCCCCCCCCCACACAATCTCCCCTTTTGCAGATTGCAAGGAGAAGAGATGCAGGGGTAAAGGGAAGGGGAAGAAGAAAGAAGGGAGAGAGTGAAAGCTGGAAGCAGGAGAGGGCAAGAGCTGGAATCCTGGCTTGCAGATGTGAGTATATAATGCATGCTATTTGAGATTATGGACTGATAAATGGGTGCATTTCCTACCCCCCCAGCACGTTTTTATTTTAAGGATTCTTGATGTTTGGGGAGGGAGTTGGAGGTGCTTTCAAGTGAGATTTCTACAGCATTGTCCCTCACATCACGATTTTTTCTTGCAATCTTTTTTCCTCTTCAATTACAACATGCAGGAGTGTGGGAGCACTTGCTGCAAGGTTGAGGGTCGGTCTGTTTCGTGGGTGCATGTGTGTCTGTGCGTGTTTTGATTTTTTTAAAATTGCAATCCTACTCCCCCCCCACCCTCCCTCCCCCCATTCCCCTACCTTCCGGCTGAGAGATATTCACGACTCTGATTCAGGATGAAGGGTACATCAAGTGATTTGTGGGGCTGGAGATTAATTGCCTGTTTTATTTTGGCAAGGGGAGGGTGAGAGAGAGAGAGAGAGAGCAAATTCTGTCTCTAAAATGCACTTTGTGTTTGATAACTCGTCTGTGTAAAGAGGTAGATACAATCTGTACAGTTATGCGTGTATCTTTTGAAAATACAAATAGTTTAAGTTTAGAAATAGCCAGAATCTATGTAGGGCGCAGATGATCAATGATTTCCCACCCTCTTAGATTTTCAACCGGACCTCTGTCATGTCAAGATTCACTGGGTTTTAGGTTCCTGTGGTCCGTGCACCAAAAACAAATCTAGTCCAAAATAAAATGCACCGTTTCAGTGATTAGGTAAGGGAAAAAGAGGAGGGCATTTTATATAGATGTAAATTCTGCATTTAAAACGTGATGGTTTTTAAATACCTGCATCTGCTGCGCTGCCTTGATTGCTAACACCGCCTGTCAGAGATTTAAATCCATATATCATTGACTTCCATTACTGGCTGATCAGGATTCGACTGTGCCTTTTTTTTTAAAAAAAAAAGGATGCAGTGCTTATATGTATACAAGCATACTTTTTCTTTTAAAAAAACAACTAAAACCGTCGCTACTTTCAGAATGCGCGGATTTAAATTCGTCTGAAGCTAGCCTCTATCAATGATTATTGGTGCTAATCGCGATTTGTAGCGAGCGATTCATTACCAATGACTACACATGATTCCCTTCAATGCGCTAGGTTTATCATAACTATATTGTGCCCCAATGGTATTTGAACGGCGTCTCTGCAGTGATTAACTCGGAAGATAATTGTAATGTGTTGATCTGCAGGCCATAATGATGGATGCCTTTGAGAAACAATTCAGAGTCCTGTAGATACGATTTAAAAGGTGACTTGGTTGACAATGTACAGTTTACTTTTCCTCCCGTACTACTGGAGAAGAACCACTTATGTAGCCCCCACCCCCGGTAGTGGAGTCAGTGCAGAATGGGGCCATGTGTATTTGCATTTGTGTATCTGACTTCTGACAGTGCCGCTCAAATTTGCATTCCTGTGAATAGAAGCAGCTTGATCTGTCATTTTTTAAAAAAAAAATAGAAACTGGGAAATAGAGTAATTGAATTTTGAGTCTAGCGAGAAGATTACTTTAAGATTTGAGTTTTTGTTTGAAAGAGGGACATCTTTTCCCAGGGTCCTGATGGAGTTGGACAAAACACAGTGGGGTGAGGCTCTTTTTTTCCTTCCAGAGCATGAACGAGTCAGGCCAAATGGTCTGTTTCTGTGCTGTAAATTGTGTCATCATTGCCTAGCATCCTTCGCTGGAAATGTGGTGTTGTCCAGCTTGAAGGTTCCTGATGGATGTTAGCATCAGCCCTCCTGCAGTCAGTGAAACTTAGGGGAGTGTGACTGAACATTGAGACCTTGGGGAGCAGGTTCATAGCTCCGTGAAAGTGGAGTTACAGGTAAACAGAATAGTGAAGAAAGCATTTGGTATGCTTTCCCTTTATTGGTCAGTGCATTGAATATAAGAACAGAAAGAACTGCGGATGCTGTACATCAGGAACAAAAACAGAAGTTGTTGGAAAAGCACAGCAGATCTGGCAGCATCTGTGAAGAAAACATCAGAGTTAATGTTTTGGGCCCGGTGGCTGAGGAAGGGTCACCGGACCTGAAATGTTAACTCTCGGTTTTTTCTTCACAGATGCTGCCAGACCTGCTGAGCTTTTCCAGCAACTTCTGTTTTTGTTGGTGTTGGCATTGGCATTGAGTATAAGAGTTGGGAGGTCATGTTAAGGCTGTACCGGACATTTAATGAGACCACTCTTGGAATACAGCGTTCAATTCTGGTCTCCCTGCTCGAGGAAGAATGTTGTGAAACTTGAAAGGGTTCAGAAAAAATTACAAGGATGTTGCCAGGGTTGGAGGGTTTGAGCTATAGGGAGAGGCTGGATAGATTGTGTCTATCCTCCCTGGAACGTCGGAGGCCGAGGGATAACCTTATAGAGGTTTATAAAATCATGAGGGGCATGGATAGATTGAATAGCCAAGGTCCATTCCCCAGGGCAGGGGAGTTCAAAACTAGAGGGTATAGGGTTAAACTGAGAGGGGAAAGATTTAAAAGGGACCGAAGGTGCATATTTTTCACGTAGAGGATGGTATATGTGTGGAATGAACTGCCAGAGGAAATGGTGGAGGCTGGCACAATTACAACATTTAAAAGGCATCTGGATGGGTATGTGAATAGGGAGGGTTTAGAGGGAGACGGGCCAAATGCTGGCAAATGGGACTGGATTAATTTAGGATATCTGGTCGGCATGGACGAGTTTGTCTGAAGCGTCTGTTTCTGTTCTATGACTGCTGAATGAGGAGACTGCTCATTGATCCCTTATTTGCCTTCTTTCCCCCTCAACGGTATTGTGCAGCTGCCCTTGTAGGGGATGTCCTAATAGGAATGTCTCAGACATGAACTTGAATCTTCCGAGTCATGAGCTGAGTACTTCAGCGTTGTAGCTAATAGCTTTCTGTTCTTTTGGCCCATTTAATGATTAATTCATTAATTTTTGGATAAGTAAATGTAGTAGTCAGCATTTTTTTATCCTCTTGTGGCGGTGAACTTTGTGTGTGTGTGTGTGTGTGTGTGTCTCTCCCTTTCTCGGTAACTGACTGAAGTAGAAGACAAGGGGGTCCTGTCAGAGGCTAAAGATGTAAGGGTGGCATATTGCTGTTTGCTTGTCGACTTGGGCTGGACAAGATTATGTTCTCAGCTGTATCTAAGAACAGAGTGCACGCTGAGTGAGTTTTAGTGCTATTAACCAACCACTGACATGTAATCCAGGCAAACAATGGGCAGTTTGTTCAGTGTGCTGTTGACCGACAATTGTGCAGCGCACTCACCATGTATGCTTGCAAGAAGCTAGGACACTCCTGGATTCTGTAAAAACAAGTTGTTTCAGGGATTAAAAAGGGCTGTCAACAATTCATTACTGGCAAGTTGTCTTGGGGACAATCTGCGTTAACGTTCAATATTCAACAGAGCCAATTTGGATGGAAATGCTACTCCTGTGCTCATTGACCGCAAAAGGATGGGGCCGGATGGTACTTGGAAATGCAATGGGGAAAGTGCGATAGTCAGCCTAGGAGGGATTTGCATATGTGTTGCACTTTTTTCACAAAGTCTGTTACGGTCATGGCAGCATAATTGCTGTTGTTATGTAGGAAGTGTGGCAGCCAGTTTGCGCACAGCAACCTCCCACAAACAACAGTGTGATAATGGCGAGATAATCTGTTGTTGTGGTGTTGATTTGAGGGATAACCATTGCTCAGGACACCAGGGATAATTTATTCTTCTTCGATAATAGAGCCGTTTTGGTCTTTTGTATCCATGTGACATTACCTTGGTTTAACAATTGAAGCTGGGCCATTTGCAAATCGGTTTGCGTGTCAGAACACCATGCAGGACAATATAAAGCAGCCGTTCTAAATACAGGAAATGTACATATATCACGTCTTTAAAATTACACCCTTTCTTGTGTCCCGACCTGAGACATCAACTTCACTGCTTCTCTGACGCTGCCTGGCTTGATGTGTTCCTCCAGCTCCACACTGTATTGCCTCTGTGTAAGATTGTATTCATAAATCAGGGATCCTCTACATCCTCTCCAGAGCAGCATTACAGTGTCAGCCATGGTGGCTCAGTGGTTAGCACTGCTGCCTTACAGCGCTAGGGACCTGGGTTCGATGCAGCTCTCTGTGTGGAGTTTGCACATTCTCCCTGTGTCTCTGTGGGTTTCCTCAGGGTGCATTGGGTTTCCTCTCACAATCCAAAGATGTGCAGGCTAGGTGGATTGGCCATGCTAAATTACCCCATTTGTTCAGTTATGTGTAGGTCAGGTGGGTTATAGGGGGATGGGTCTAGGATACAGGGTGACAGGGGTAGGATGGGAGGGTTGGTGTTTGGACTTGATGGGCTGAATTGCCTGTTTCCACGCTGTAGTGATTCTATGATTCTAAAATCCTGGAATCAGAATCCTACAGTACAGAAGAGGCCCTTCGGCCCATCAAGTATGTACTTCCAAAGCTACACTAAATCCAGCACTAGGTCTTTGAATGTTATGACATTTGAGTGCTTATCCAAGTACCTTTTCAAACGTTAAGGTTTCCAACTTCAACTAATCTCCCGGGCAGTGCATTCCAGGCCCTCACCGCCCTCCACGTGGAAAAGTTTTTCTGGAGTTGGTCTTGAACCCAGAACCTTGGAAGTTGTGAAATGAAAGTGTAACCAAGTGAGCCATGGATGTCTCTCAAGATATATTTACTTTATTCCCCATTGAATCCAACAACTGTTTGCATTTATGTAGCTTCTTTAACGTGGAGGATCCTGGCCAATCTCCTACTCCAACACTTCAAAGTTGTTTAATTGGATGTAAAGTGGTTTGAAACATACCAAGGTCATGCAGATTGTTGAATATGTGGTTGAAGAGATTGATTTTAAATCTAAGATGGTTGGTGATGTAATGAGACTGAGGCTTGGGGGGAATGCTGGGCCAGGATACTTCAATCGTTTGCCATCATCATGAAGCAAAGGGAGTTTAAGTTAAATTAAGGACCAGAAT